CTACTCTCAACTCCCTAACCTAACTCTGCCTCATCTTTCAGGTCCTCATGCAGACATTGCCGTTTCCAGGAAATTCACATTCCTGAGCCCTCTGTGCTTCTTAATAATGGTGATCATAACAGCAGCTGACACTTATCAAATACTATATCTGGGCCAGCCCATGTTCTAAGCACTGAGCAGTATCAACTCAATTCTTCTTCATAATAATCCGATGAAGTAGGTACTAATAATATCCCCATTTTACAGACAAGACACTGAGGCACAAAGAGGTTAAGTAACCTGCCCAACGACACATCCTCGGTCAGTGAAAAAACCAGTATTTGACTCCAAGCAGACCAGTTCTAGAGCCTGTGCTCTAATCAGCAGACCACACTGCCTCTATGTGAGTAACAGTGACATGATCCTAGTTACTGCTATATACACAAGGCATTTATTGTTCAGCATTTATATTCAATGACATGCTACAATTGGGTATGTATTTCTCTCTATAAATACTAAATCTAGACTATCAAATATGGAGTATAAACTATCCAAAATTCCTGAAAAGTATAAAATCTCTTTAAAAATATTTTTCTTGAAACTTAATTTTTACAAAAATATATAGCTGTAACTGGCACACCTAAAACACATTAGGATTTACCACTCCTATGATAAGAAAAGTGTCTTCAAATATAATGAAAACCCTTGGCAATTTGAATATTATATGATACTAAATTATACTATAATTATTTCAAAGGTCAAGAATCTTAAACATTTAGTCTTAAAATTCTCCACCTGAATGATACAATCAGAAAATTAAAGTATGTATGGAAATATTTAATTATACAAAACAGGTAGAAATCTACTAATTTAATAACCTTTAAATAAAATGTGCACCATTTTCCCACATGGCTTTTTTTTTTATCTCTGTTGCAAAAATGGGACTTTTTAAAAGAACATGTTTTAGTGAACATGAGCATGCATTTTATTTTCCAGTGCTAGTTTCAAGGAAGAGTAAGATAAAATGGTTTGGAATAAAGAGTCATATCACTCATTAGCTCATGAGAAACTCTATGAAGCCTTTATGCTGGGCACCACTGTAAATTAAAAAAAAAAATTCATTCAGACTCAGTCTTGTCTTTTTAGGAATTTACAATCTAGTAGAAAAAGGGAAACAAACAGAGAACACAGATGTGAGAGCTGGTGTGTAAAATTTTGGTAAGGAGGCAAATGTATACTAATAAGATCCCTGCCTGACCTGCAGCTGTAACACCATTAACGTCCAATGTGATGTTGAAATGGCCAGTAAATTATGTTTTTCTCAGAAAACTTTAATAAGGCAAAACAGCATGAAGGTTAGGAGGTTCTGTGCAACAGAACATGTGGGTTTGAATCTCAATTTTATCATGCATCAGTTGACTTTAGCAGCTTCACTTAACTTCTCTGTGCCTCAGTTTACTCTTAGATAATTGCACATAATACATTACATGAGTTTATGCAAGAGAAGCAGGTAGCACACAGAAGCCACTCTAACCGTATAAATCACTTCAGGAGTCTGCTGAAGTGTGGGCCCCTTTGCTTTCAGGCCTTACGTGACCCACTGATAAAGACATATTAAAACATCTTACCAACCCACAGACTCAATTACATAGCTGGGTCAGTCCTTACTGCTATCTATATAATCAATGGTCCACATCTTAGCAGTGTTTTCCAAACTTGGTCTGGAAGAGCAAAGAGGCCCCTAGTACTCTTAATCAAACACTATGAAATAGTTAAATATTTAATTCCATCATCAGAACCAGAAAAATGCCCCTCTCGTTGTTGATATTATTTATGTGTAATACAAAAATCACAACCACAAGGACTGTGTACTACCCAGAAATAACACACATTGTCAAAATGGGCATGGTTAGCTGCTTTTGAGTTTGGGGTTTATATTATTTTGCTACTGGTTTGCTCATTTGCTGTCAGTAGAACAGATGATGAAGACTTCTGAAAAATGGTAAACAGTAAACTGAAAAGAAAGCCTAGTGCTGTGGTTTGAATATAACCTCTCCCAAATTCAGGCATTGAAACGTAACATGCAATGTGATTGTACCAAGAGGTGGAGCCTTTAAGAGGTGATTCTGCCATGAGGGCTTCTCACCCGTGAATAAGATTAAGACCCTAATAAAAGAGGCTTCACGAAGTTTTTGATCTCTTGACCTGCTTTCTGCCATGTGAGGACACAGCGTTCCTCTCCTTCAAAGGATGAAGCCATAAGGCACCATCTTGGAAGCAGAGAGCTGAACCTGCCAGCACCTTGATCTTGGGACGTGCCAGTCTCCAGAACTGTGAGAAAATAAATTTCTACTCTTTATCAAGTGTCCAGTCTCAGGTATTTTGTTATAGCGGCACAAATGGACAAAGACTCCTAGCTATTAAATCCTGCCTCCTCATTGTTTCTGCTTTTGTAAAAATAATTTCTAAACATTTTTATTTGCACAGCAAGTCAAGCCTGTTCAAGGCCTACTGTTCTGACATCTAGGCCTCCTGAAATTCAGGTGCAATGTCTGTTCACCAAAACTGTTTCTGCCACTGCCTTTCTGTGCAGCAGGTTTTAGGTCTCTACTCAACAAGGGATCACATATTTTGTAGAGCAAGAGACCTGTCCTGAGAGTGAAGCAGCTTTGCTGTAAAAGGAGAATCACAGACTCTCAGCACTGAACTTAATTTTTAAAATGTTTTAATCCAAACTCTTCATTTCATAGAAAAAAGAGGTCCACAGAAACCCAAGTCCCCCAGCAAGCTGGCGGCAGAGTTCAGAGTGTTCTTCCTTATAATTTTCCATCTATCGGTTTGGTGGGGGTTTTTCTTGTTTTGTTTTGTTTTTTATTATAGCACATTGCCAGAGAAAAAACTTAACTTCAAAACTGAAAGTCAGAAGAAAGAACACAATTTTAGAGCACAACCTTAAATGGTGATAAAATTTATGGCAATACCTAACTTTGAGAAAAATATGGACAATGCAATTTTAATCTAGATTCCAGCAATTACAATAAAAGGAATCTACAATTGACTAAATCCTGCAGCCTTAACAGTGAAGTTATGGATAGGACTTTGTACAATATGTTTAGACATTTTTACTTGTACTTCATACTCATTATGTCCCCAACCCAATCTGGAACATATTTTGAGATAAAAGCAGATTAACAAGGAACTTCTCTTATCCAGATCTTTGTGGTAGGCCAAAAATGTGGGTGTGTACATGAGAGGGGGAGAGGAAGAAGGGAAAGAGAAAGGACGAAGGGGAGAAGGAGGCAGAGACAGAGAGAGGAAGAGGAAGGGCAGAACTGTATTTCATTCATGGACAGGTGATTTTCCTCCTCCTTCATTTGTTACTTACGAAGCTGCATTCTTACATCAGAAATACATTCAGACATGGCATTAAAAACAAAATGAAAAATTGTATAAAAATTCCATAAGCTATTTCAAGTTGGATTAATATGTAAATGTTACCATTATTTAATACTAAAATAAGTAAATACCAAATGGAAAATAAGAGGTTAGGGACATAATAAGTAAATTCAAATGTATAAAACAAGTAGATTTCAATTGCATTCAATTATTTCACCCAATCACCTAGAAGTGAAGATCCTCTAAAGAAAATTGCATTGCCTTCCCAACTCCTTGGAGAGCCAGTTTAGTTAACAGCCTACCTATGCTTCAGAGATGACCATGCAGCTTACATGTCAAACTCATTTTAAAGTGTCAATCAAGTCCCTTTCAATCTAATTAGTTTGGAAAGTAGTGTCACTGACCTAGAACTATGCAGACCATTTATTATCATATCATTTGATCAACCTAACACTTTACCTCAGTGGAGTTTGAGACACCTGTAGCCAAAATGTAATATCCTTTCCCCCACTCATTACTGGTAACTCTCAATACAATTTCCTATTTACAACTCAATTTATGTCTATGAATAAGCATGGCCAACGTCACAGAGGCATTCCATAGAATTTCTCTTATTTAAGATTTCATGGCAAAAATAGAAAGGGAAGGGAAAGGGAATAGAAGGGTAAAGGCAAAGGGTCATATATATCAGAGATGTGTATATATATATATATAAATATATATATATCAGATTCAAGGTTTTAGATGCCCAAGAACTGCAAAAGGAGGGAAAGGAGGAATAGCAGAGGATCATAGATATGCTGGGAAAAATTTGGAACCTTAAATATGAGGGGAGATTTTTCTTTTTTTAACATAATACAATGAACCATGTAAAAGGAGTCTGTAGGTTAATTGTCATCACATGGATTTGTTTTACGATAAAGAAAAACTTTCTCAGGTTCATCACATTTAACCTGACTTTAACCTGGCCAAGGGCAGGATGAGGTAGAACTGAAGAGGTAATAACTAGTTCCCCAGGGGTCAGAGAGCACAGCCAAGTGCCTGCAAAGGAGGCGCTAACGGCCAGACCACAGTCAGGCTGAATGGGATGAGGCAGCGGCAATGTGGTGGCTGGAAGATCCTGGCCAGTCAAGCCATAGAAATAACCTGGCCCATTCCCTGGCAAAAGCAAGAAAATTATCCAATCTTTTTCTCATCTGAGCTTTGCATATTTAAGAACTGATTTGCACGACGAAAATACAAGCAGGTAATCTTATCTCTGATCTATAGAATAACATATTGCATCAGGGAGAGATAAAAATATACACACACACAACACTCATGTATGCCACTAAAATGTTGTATTCATATTTTTAAATGTAGCATTAAAAAAAGAAGTATAGCAGTTTATTTAAAGTAATGACTTCACTCTAGAAGACGATAATCTAAAAGCAGGATGTCAGCTGCTAATGCTTCCTTTTCTATCCTGTGCTTTCCTTTGGGGAAGTTAAGCTGCATTTTACCAAAATTCCTGTTTGTCTGAAGGATAAGCAAGATTCTTCAATTATGTTTGCTTGATCAAATAATTACTAGTGAACATGATTTTACATCTGGTGAGATAAAATATGCATATGTCTCAAACTTACCTTCAGGTGAAGAGCTTGTCTTTTGGGAAAAGACAGCATTTACTTTGCTCTTTTTACTGATATCGTTGTTTACAGACAAGCTGGACTGAATTTTTCTATGCATTTTTTGAGAAACAGGTGCTGAAAGTTTGCGATTATCTGCGGATACGTGTTTGGCCCCGTGGTGAATTCCATTTCCATTGCTCAGACTTGTGTGGCCGTTCTTTATCTTGCTTATTTCCTCCTCGCTGGGTTCCTGTGCTGAAGTTTGAAGCAGAGGCAAACGCTGAGGTTGGGCTAAAAAAGAAAGAAAAAATTTATACAGTTAAGAAAAATAGATTAATATTTTACAATAATGAAAATACATTCAGTACCAGAGATTTAGGGTTTTAACCATGATGCTAAAACCGAAGAGGCAACAAAGAAAGAAAAATACAAGCACAGACATAGAAAAAGCATATACTTACTAACAGGGAAAATGGAAGTGGGATCATCAGAAGTAACTTTACACAAGGATATAAGAAAAGAGCAGAAAAATACTGGTTTTGGTAAGGAAATGTAAGTTAGAAATTTGAAAAGGTATTTTAACACTCATTCAGCAAATCTTGATTGTTTTCTATGCTGGGCACTCTTTGGGGTGCAATAGACAAAACAGTGTTTTGTCATTACTACCGATAATAAACTACTCAGTTATCTTTTGAAATAAAAGGAAAGGAATGATGAATTCAGATATTCAAAGCTGGACAATACAGAGAGAAATATAGTGGGTTTTTTTAAATTCCATTTTAAATCCCAGAGAAGAAACTCTTCTCTATATTTATTCTTTAATTTGATTTTAAAAATTAATCATTTATGAAAAGTTAGGAATACAAGAGAACTTGCTTGATCTTATAAAATTTATTTACCAAAATTAAGTAGCAGCACTTTAGGATTATTCCCATTTGTGCCAGAATGAAGCAAAGAATGCCCACCTTCACCCCACTTATGCAACATTAACTGGAGGTCCTGGTGAAGGCAATAAACAAGACAAAATTTTGATAGGTCTGTATTCTGGAAAGGAATAAATAAAATTTTTGAGATGTGCACAGATTTGAATGGTCTGGGGATAAAGTAAGAGACTATAATTTCTGAAAAACTAAGAATTTAGCAAGATTTAGACACAACCACATAAAAATCAACAATGTTCCTATATGAAAACAGTAACCAAATAACAAATGTACAAGAAAAATTGACATTCTTCACAATAGCAAAAAAAGAAAAAAAAAGCCCACAAACAAAAAAACCCTACAAGTATCTAGGAATTAAACTAGGAAAAAATGGGTAGAGTTTTTATGGCAAAAATTACAAAACATTATTGAAGGGCATAGAAGAAATGCAAGTAAATGGAGAAAGTATAAATATGTTAATTCGGTTAATATTATAAATCTGTCTAATTTATTATTTAATGTAATTCTCATAACATTTCTAACAGGCTTGTTTATGGAACTTGACAAACTGGTCCAAACATGTATATGGAAGAGTAATTAAGAGCCACCAGGGAAATTTTAAGGAAGAAAAAGGGTTCTGGGACTTGACTTACCAGGTATGAAATCTTACTATAAAATTAAAGTAACAAAAGCACTATGGTGTTGGAACAGGCAGAGACATATAAACCAATGGAACAGTAGAGTCCCAAATATGTAGGTGTGTGTACATGTATGTGCATGTATACCTCAAACAGATAAACTCCAGATACATTAAATGCCTATGTATGAAAAGCAAAACTTTTTTAGCTTTAAAGTGAAAATGCAAGAGACTATATTAACAGCATGATATAAGGAAGGACAAGCAAATAGGATTCTTTGGAAAATGAATCCTAAAACAAGAAGGATGAATATTCATCATTTGTATGCCCAGCATTTCTGAACATACTCACAGATTTTGGTAAATTCCCCTATTACATCCTATACTACTCTGCAGCTAGAGGGCAGGTATGTGATCTAAGTTCTGCCAAGCAGAACTATGGCTTGCATTTAGAAGTGACATGCAAGGTGTCAGCCACACCAGGGAAGTGGAGCCTCTGCCCACAGGCAGTGGAGAGGCATTTATCGGTCTTGGCAGTGTGGGGCAGCTTCTGAAGTCCACTTCCTAGTAAAACAGTGGTCCAATGGTGCAGCAGTAGTTTCCATCAGAGAAGCCCTACTGAATGGATGGATATGATCCTTGGCTGTATAACTCTGGGAGAGTCTATGTGCTGATAATAAAGTCATTTTATATTTAAATCAGCCAAGATGGATTCTGGTTTTGGGCAGCTTAAAGTTCTGATGCCCCCCAAAAGTTATCAGTGTACATTTGTTTAATTAATGAGGTTATTACTAACATCATAATTTATCTTCATTGTGTAGATCTTAAGCAAAGCTATAAATCATAGCTTTTCAACAAAAAAAACCCAGCAACAACAAAAAACATTCATTGTGAAAATTTTACTATTCTATGCTTTCCTGGAATTTCAAAATCTAAAACTACTGCTTTCATTAGTTGTTTCTCTGTTTATGATTATGAACAATCATGAAATGTAAATTACGTATGATTCTTCCTCTTAGAAAAAGTATTGCATGCAAAGCCATAACAGTTATACATAAAGTTGATAAATGTCTAAAAGAAACTGATTATCTGTAGTCTGGGAAATAGATACGACTTGGTTCTTATTTTTGACAGATGACAGTTTGTATTTGGGTAAGTCTTTAGCACACCACTGTTTACTTCAATTCTTGTTCACATATGTACCATGAAGAAAAACATCCTAATATATAAAAATATATACTCGTGAATGTGCATATTTGAAGAAGAAGAACATATTCATAGTTTTTACTTAAACAAAAGCATGTTTTCGTACAAAGTCTACTAACATTAATATCTGATTTATAAAACTAATATTTGAAATCTTCTTACAGTTTTTCAGTTCTTAAGTGATAAACAAAGGGGGATAGATGTCTAAAAGATATAAATCTGTTTAGCAGCTATACATGCCCTTTTCATAACCAAAATCTACAATCAAAGCATCTGCAAAAGAAGATCTATTTCTTAAGGGTGCGCAATCGTTTGATTTAGAGATTAATTTGCTGCTTCTGAAACTTCTTGTATCAACTGGAATGACATTCTAATGACTGCTATTGAACATAAAGATAGTTATGCATATGTATTTAAAAGGATGCCAAAAAGACAGTTAAACCTAATTTGGTGTTCTTTTCAAAGCACTTTCCAGTAATCTCACCAAATAAATGGAATGTTTTGTACCACTTTTTCTCTAAAAGAATAATTCAAGCAATCTGAGAGCTTGATTAAGTTGAAATGTCATTGACCAATGCTAGGAAGACTCCTTGTCAATCAAAAACATTCTGTAATATTCCATAATCCAAAATAAATGTAGAATTACTTTTTAATAGTTAAATATTCTCAATAAATAAAAATAATGGTCGTAAACGACAACTGTCTCCTGCCACCAAGTTCTAAAATGAACAGATTTGACCTTTTTTTTATCATCAAAATTGACTGTATGTGAATACCAGGTATAGCTGGAATGATATTCTAACATATCCTTAATGATTTATCTACATTTCAATCTTCAAAGTGATATCTATTTCTGTTGCAGATACATAGTAGTACATTATTTTTTATTTCACTGTCAACTATTTTTATGATAGTTTATATTATGGTCAGATAACAAAATATTATCTCTTAACTCCAGTTTTGTGATATTAAAACAATTTCTTATTTGAATAATTTTGCCAGATGCATGTGATATGTAAGTCAAAACAAAACTGGATAAGCACTAGATATATTAGTTATCTCAACAGATATCAAATTTAACTTTGTTGATAATTTTTTATGAGTATGACTTAAAACTTATGGTAAAATTCCAATTAAAATCAAGAAGAAAATATGATTTTATTTTTAAATAAAGAACAAAAACGCCTGACCGATTAAATCACAACTACTTGGCTTTGAACAGATTTCTTTTCCTTATTGTGTAAAAGTTGTGTATGGCTTTAAAAAAAAAGGCACAGTAATATGGAAACGACACAATGCTTCTTAAAACACAAGTGATGCCTAGGGACCCTCGCTCTCCCTTTAATGATCCACTGCTCTCATTCAGCTGTCTTTCTTTTTTCAAATCTTTACATATGTGACAGCTCTCAAAAGTAGACCATAGACCATCTGGCATTTTCAGAGGTGTAACTTGTGCAAATTCAGCTCTATTGGGAGCGCACTGTTATCTTCTGCCTGCGTTATAAAGGGACAATAGAATGTAGAACTTATGAGTTGTTTTGAATTATTCATTTTTTTGCCTGTATATTCAAGAAATTTTACAAACTCTGCATTTTGTACTACATAATCACATGCGTTAAAGGTACAAAGAAACTTTTTGACACCTCTTTTCTACAGAAAGCTGGCATTTTGTTTGATATGTGAACATTCAGCATCTGTTATATCATTCTAAACAGGATGGGTGCTTCTACAAAAGACCCCATTTTAAATTTACTCTATACCAGCAAAAAAACGTATTCTTGATATTCAGTAACGAATGCAATACACATCAAAATTTCAAATACCAGTTATAAGAGCATTCAGCATCTTCAAACCTGGATAGCATTGGTCACCCGCTTACCATATGTGTAAAGATTTTTTTTAAAAAAAAATCATTGCTCACACAATGCAGCATGATTGTAATTTTAATATCCATGATGAATAGTTACAAATGTCTTAAGAAATACTGTGCTTCCTAGGTTCAAATGTTTTCAATCAGGAGGGAAACCAATAGAATTAGGTCTAGTGATTTTCAATAGGAATAATAAATATGGGAGTAAATGAGTCAATAGCATGAACTTCTTTTGGTAATTTTTTAAGAAAAAAACTGGGTGATATTGTAGCTGGTAATAACTATACTTGAAACTTCAGCTGCCGGAGTAGCAATATAAAGCAACATTTTGCTATTGCATATAATCTATTAGCATGTGAAAATCATCTCCAGTCATTGGTGTCTTTACACAAGTCAGATTTAATAAAATTACAAAGGAATTCTCATGCCACTTAAACTAAAGATCTGAACTTGAATCTTAAACAATGCAAGTTGTTGTACATATAAAAATGTCATCATTAAATGTTCATGATTTATAACTGCCGGTAACAAAATGATCAATATAGAATATGGAGGTGAAAATGACTGGGTGTAAATCTAAATTACTTCTCCAGAAATAGTTACAAAGCTTTTACTGGGCACCCAGTATAATGCTACTCCATGGTCACTATAGAACAAA